CCGTCGGCGACGCAGTGCCGGTCAGGCTCGCTGGCCGCGGCGGCAGGGGCGGCGCCTCTGCGCGGCGCAGCAGACTCCGCGCGCCCGACACGGAGCGCGTCGGCGCGGGGTCAGGCCGCCGAGCGCCGCCGCCCTGACTGTGCACAGACACGCGGCTCTGGCTCGAGAGGGTGCGGTGCAGCGACGGCGCGGGACTCGCGCCGTCGTCGTCCGAGTACACGCTCTCGTCAGACACGCTGCCGCAGCCCACCGCGTGGACGCTGTGGCTCGACGGCGTCGGCGGCCCGCTCGAGCCGTGGCTGCGCAGGCTCGTCTGCCGACGCACCGGCTCACTAGCGTACGACACGGACGCGGGCGATGCCGGTATCGAGTCTGGGCTCGCGAGGCCCAGCTCACGCCGTCGCTGCTGCGCGCGCGCAGACGAGTCAGAGAGGTTCGACACCGCGCGCGGCCGGTGCAGCGCGGGCTGCCGGTGCAGGAGGGTCGGCTGCCGCGGCGCAGGGCCATCCGCAGGACTGTCGGGCCGTGGCGAGTGTGTGGCTGAGCGCTGGGCAGCGAGGCCGGTAACGAACGGCGCGTCCGCCTCCGTCGCGTCCATGTAGGCGGGGGCCGGCGAGGCCGCGTCGTCCATCGCGGATCGGGGTGTCGTCACGCGGCGGTCCGTGGCGTGTCGGGACCGCGCCGCTCGCGCGAAACGGCCGCATTTCTCCACACGTCGTCATGCGCCCTGCACCGACGGCTCGCGATGCGGGCCAGTGGCCAGTGCGGCACATGGTGCAGCTCGTGCTGCTTGTGCTCGTGCTGCAGCCAGTCGTCCTGCTGCTTCTCTTTGTCGACGTGGCGCCGGCGAGCGACAGCGCGCCGGCGTCGTGGGTCCACACAGCCCTAGTGCACCTTACGCGCCTCGTGCGTGCCGGCTCGTCCGATGCGCGTGCGGGCGGCGCCGCGCGCGCGTGGTCGGTGACGCTCGCGCTGAAAGGCGCTGTGATGATGCAGGCGTGGTACTGCACACGCATGCATGCGTGGTACACGATGGCGGAGGGGTACGAGCGCCGCGAGCCGCCGAGCGAGCTGCGGAAGCGGCAGCGGACGGCGTCGCAGCAAATTGAGGCGCTCGCGCTCTCGGCGCTTGCGCTGCCCCTCCTGTGGCTCCTGGCCCTGGCAGTGGTTGTCCTGGTCGGCGCGCCTGTGAACGCGCAGCCGGTCGGCACGCTGACGCTGGCCGCGTACCTCGCGCTCCTGGGCCTGTGGCCCCTGACACACGTTCTCGGCACGCCGCCGTCTGCGCAGTGGCTGCGCATCCTGTCGGCACCGTCGACGATCCTGCCGCGCGAGCTTATCGTGCTGCTGCCGTGCGTCGGCGCATGGCTCGGCGCGCTCCTCGGCGCGCTGCCGCAGGCCCTCGACTGGGGCCGCGCGTGGCAGGCGTGGCCGGTGCCGAGCGTGTATGGCGCCGCGTGCGGCGTCGTGCTGGGCCACCTGGCCGCCCTGGGCGCGAGTGTCGTGCTCGTTGCGCGCGCGGTGCGTCGGCCGCCGACTAGGTCGTCTATGTAGCAAATGCTTCCGCCGGGATCGTGCCGGCCGCCTGCAGCGCGGCAAAGTTGGCGAGCGCGCGCGGCATGTCCCACGCGTTCTCGCTCAGGCACTGCACCGCAAACGGGTACGTGAGGCGCGTCTGCGCGGCGAGCTGCAGCGCGAGGCCGTGCTGCTCGGGTGTGAGGCCCGGCGCGGGCGCCGCGTCGCCGGTCGGCAGCGCGTCCGGCTGGAAGGCGGCCGCGCGCGAGTAGTGGCGCAGCGTCAGCACGTCGCTCACAATCACGCACGGCCAGCCCTGCTGCGCGGCGTGCGTCAGCGGCGCGGCGGGCGCAACGATGAACGCGCGGTCGAACGAGCGCACGCCCTGCGACGGCAGCTCCGTAAACTCGCCGTGCACGCTGATGAAGAGGAGCGCGTCGGGGCGCTCTGTCGCGCTCGTTTGCGCCCGCACGTCGACGTTCGGGAGCAGCCACGCATCGACGACAAAGCGCGTCGCATCAGTCAGCGGGTGCTTCGTCGGCGGGAGGCGCTGCAGGAACGCGACGATCGCGTCGCTCCCATGGTGCAGGCTGCGCATGAGCGACTTGGTGTTGTGCGTGCGCAGGATGTTGCGCGAGCCCAGGTCCATGTACTTGTCGAACGTGAGGTCTTTCTGGTGCGGCATGGTGTGCACCAGGCGCTCCGCACGCGCGCGCGGCGGCGGGCTCGCATTGATGCTGTACGAGAAGCGCGCATTCGCACTGTACACGGGCGCGAGGCGCGCGCGGTCGTCGTCGTACGCCGCGAAAAAGTGCGAGAGAAACTCGGGCACGACCTGCGCGGCGTCCCCATCGACGAAGCCCGCGCGCACCTGCAGCGGGAAGCGCCGCAGCGGCACCTGCGCCGCCTCGGGGCCCGCGCGCGCGCGGCTGCGCCCGCGGAACAGCTGCGCGAAGCCCTTCTCCACGTCCGTCACGGGCTTCATATCGAGGATGTGCAGGTCGGGGAACTTGGCGAGCACGTCGCGGCGGTAGCCGTCCTCGTTGCTGCTCTCGAGCGCCGTCGTCTGCACCGGGTTGCCCAGCAGCACGAGCTCGCGCAGGTTCGGTAGCCCGTGCTTCTTGGACGCCAGCACGTCCAGGTCACGCACCCAGCGCAGCCCGTTGCGCTCCAGCGACAGGTTCGCGAGCGACGGCACGTACTGCCCGAGCGTCGTGAGCGGCTGCAGCGACGTCCACGCATTGCCCGCGAGCGAGAGCGTCGTGAGCGTCGGGAACATCTCGCCACTCAGCTTCCACAGCGCCGTGCCCAGGTCGCGGTGCGCGCCCGGCGCGCCCGGCGCGCGGATGTTCGCCTCGGCAAGGATCGGGTCGTCGGCCATCTGCGCGAGGTTCAGTAGGCCCGCGCCCGCATCCCAGCGCGACGCCAGGAAGCGCCGCAGCGTCGCCACGACATTCGTCGTCGGCGCCACGTCCGCCGCGCCACGCGCGCCGCGCCCGATCGTGTGGGCGCCGAGCGACGCGCCCGGCCGCACATTCGCGGGCCGCGCGCCCGCATTCACATTCACCGCGCGGCGCCCGCCGCCGCGCCGGCCCACGGGGTCAGCCGCCGCACGCGCCATCTTGCGGCGCTGTGCACGCGTGAGCCCAGTACCCGCACCGCCTTCGTCGTCCAGCGGCATCGACATATCGTCCATAAGCCCCGCGCCCCGCAGCGCGCGGGCCGCGAGCGGCTGGCGGTGCCCCTGCTTCGGCATCGCTGCGTCGTCACGGCGGCGAAAGAACCGCCGACGAGTTACATAAGCACCGCCTCCACGGCTACCACGCACGCCCCGCCAGGCCATGGACGACGGCGCGCAGGTCGTCATCCCGGACCTGGACGAGGAGCCGCTGCTCCTGCCGAACCTCGAGTGGCAGGCGGCGCGTCTCCTCCAGAGCCCTGTGGCGCCGGGCGCGCCACCTGGCGGCGTCGCTGCGCCCGACGCGGCGTCGCTCTCGCCGTCGTACGAGGCGACGCCGCCCAAGGGCCGCGCTGCGCCGCGCCTGCGCCACTTTCGCTCCGGCTCGCTCACGGACGAGTCCAAGTCGTCGTTCCGCTTCGGCTCGTCGTTCACACATACCCTGCCTGGCGTCGAGCATGCTCCGTCGCCGTCGCGCAGCGACCGGGGCGATGGCCTGTCTACGTTTTCGTTCCCTGTCAAAAAGGCGTCGTTCGCGAGTCTCAAGGCGGAGATCCGCGGCCAGCCGCCGACGCCCAGCACGAAGGAGCCGGACGCCGGCTCGCCGAGCATAAGCGACCGCGCGGGCCGCAGCGGCGTGCTCGGCGACATTGCGTCTGTGTCCGCGGGCCTCGCGCACGCGACAGGCATGCCGCGCCCGCGCAAGCACAGCAAGTCGGGGAGCCAGGTCTCCGCGGACAGCCTCGCGCCCTCGTCGAGCCCCAGCCGCCTGCACCCGTTCCGGCACGCCCACCAGGGCTCGCACCTGTCCGAGCCGTCGGTCGAGGGCGCGCTCACGTCGCCGTCCAGTGCGGGCGCGCCGGGCGACGTGCTGTCGCCGCCGATCGCGCTCGCGCCGGGCGACGACGGCGACGCGCTGCTGCCCGACCTGCCCCGCGCGCCCGGCGCGCGCCCGATGACCTATGCGATCCAGCAGGTGCTCATGCAGTTCCAGACGCTGGCGGAGGACGCGCTGTATGCGGTGCTCACCGTGTCGCACGACGCCGACGCCATCCAGGTGCTCTTTCCCACGGCCGTGCATCGCGCAGCGTGGGAAGACGTCCTCGAGACGCTCGCGCACCTCGCGCAGCACGACCGCGAGCTGCTCATCGACGCGGTGCTCGCGTGGCGCGCCGAGGTGCTGGACCAGCCCGCGCCGCTGCACCGCCAGCCGAGCGACGCCGCGTCGCTCGTCAGCACGTCGTCGCAGGGGACGACCAGCGCAGGCTCCACCGAGCTGGTGCGCCGCCGCCGCGCGCTCGCCGTGACGTACCTCGTGTGCCAGGCCCTGCTGCGCGCGGTGCCGCCCGGCACGAACGACCGCATGGGCGAGGACCTCGACGACCCCGCGATGGACGAGTTCGTCACGACGCTCTTCCACTTCCTGCACCTGTGCTCCGTCGACCGCGAGAGCGAGCGCGGCACCCTGGTGCGCCTGCACACGTCGCTGCAGCAGCAGTGCTTCGACGCGGTCGCGCGCGTCCTCGGCGAGCTCTCGCGGCACTGCCTCCCGGCGATCGGCGAGCAGTTCGTCTCCATCCTGCGGCACTCGAACGCCGTCGCCGCCTCGCGCGACAACGAGCTGCTCACCGAGGCAGCGATCCTCGGCATGCGCTACCTGCGCATCACGCTCTACCCCATGGAGGCGTTCGAGGCCGGCGCCGAGTTCCTCGCCGTGCTCGCCAAGTTCTTCGCGCACTCCCACGGCTACCGCATCAAGCGCGCCTTTGCGCGCGTCCTGCACACGATCCTCGAGCCCGTCGCCCGCAGCGCGTCCGTCGAGCTGCACCACCCCGTGTGGGTCGCCGCGATGAACACGCTCCTGCCCCGCGCGCAGGCGCTCGCCGCCCGCTCGCGCTACTGGGGCGTCGCGTACCCGCTCTGGGCCATGGTCCTGTGTGCGTCGCCGCCCGACGTCCTCGTCGACCGCTGGTCCGCGTGCGTCGACAGCGGCCTCGCGCGCTGGAAGGAGCGCCCCAAGGCGGCCGACATGCGCGCCACGGTCCTCGCGTGCGCCGCGCAGCTCGCGTGGGCGTACCTGTTCCGCTGCCACGAGGGCACCAGCCCGACCGCGCGCCGCCTCGACGCGGTGCTCGGCCCGTGCCTCCCGTCGCCGCGCACCGCCCTCGCGCCGCACGACCCGAGCATGGACGCGTGCGTCGCGCTGCTCAGCGCCGCGCTCTTCCGCCAGCCGGAGTACACGCGCCCCATCGTGCTCGACCTGCTGCGCCACACCCACTTTGAGCGCACCGCGCCGCTCCAGCCGGACACGCTGCAGCCCACGCGCATGGCCGTCGCCGTGCGCGCCGTCGCATGCACGCTGCACGCGTACGTCCGCGGCGAGCCCGTGCCGTTCCCCAGCGCGCCGCACGCGCCGCCCGAGGCCCTGCCCGTGGACGGCGCGGTGGCCTTCCCGAGCGCGGACGTCGCCGCGGCCTTTGCGCAGTTCCACACGCTCATCGCACAGATCGCGCTCGCCTGCGACTACCTCGCCAAGGGGCTGAGCGTGCTCGACGAGCGCACCCCGCTCGCGCGCGGCACCAATGCGCCGCTCGTGCAGGGCGAGCGCGCGACCCTCGATCCCGAGCACTGGGAGGTGCGCACGCACGCGCAGGGCGCCTTCACCGTCGCGTACGCCCGCGAGCACCAGCCGCAGCTCGAGCTGCTGCGCGCGTGCATCGAGACGTGGCCGCGCGGCCTCGCGCCGAGCCTCGGCACGCCGACGTGCCTCGCGCTCCTGTTCCGCGCCCTGTTCAGCGTCGAGCCTGCGCTGCACCGCGCGAGCGCGGCCGCCCTCGTGCGCCTCGCACGCGGCCCCGACGGCGCACCGCCCGTGCTCCGCGCGCTGCTCCCGTGGCTGTTCCGCCAGGACGGCCTCGTGTGGGAGCTGCAGGCGCACGCGGACGTGCTCCTGCCCAAGATCGCGCAGGCCGCCGCGCTCTTCGTCGACCTGCTCGACGTGTGGCGCACGCAGCGCGACCCGGCCGCGCTCGAAACGCTCGCGGACGCCGAGGCAGGCGCGCTCCTGCTGCTGTGCATCCCCAGCGTGGCACTGCGGCAGCACG